CCTCTCTTAGTTTTTTGTTTGCTAAGTCATGCTTTTCCTGGTATATACCCACTGGGGTTTTAATAATGGTTCTTTTTCTAAAACAAATTACAGCCTGTGTGATTGTTTTTTTGTTTTTGATCAAATTGCCTGGAATTTTTGGTGTCATCCTTTGTTCAGACTACTAATACTCTTTGTAGAAGCATGAGATGTTACTATTCGTAAGTACCGTGATATGGAAACTCCCTTCCCCCACATCTGTCTTCAACAAATTCTATCTCTGTAAGAAGTACTCATTTTACTTGGAGAACAGCTTGTTGAACTTCCCTCACTTTAGTGAATACCACTGCAGTTCTTATCAACACTGCAATTTCTCTCTTAGCTTTGCATTCCTACCCTGTCATTATAGTAGCCCCTGAAAAACAGGCACGGTGAGTATTTGTTCTTTGTGGCCGGCCAGCAGAGGAACTCCGTATCTGGAATTCTCTACCTCACGATTTTTTGTGGGAAGCAGTGTCACTACCCACATGCAACCCCCTCCACTGCCAGCCCTTGCATATCTTCCACCCAGACCAGAGTGGGGAGTTTTCTTTTCTCCAGGTTGGGGGATAAACGTTAGAGGTGTGAAGTTGGATGGCTTAGCTGGTGCGGGTGAGGAGGGGGTGCTGAGCCGTAACTTACTGCTCTGAACTCAAGCGTCTCGCGGGCAGCCACATTCGGAATTTTGACTCGAGATTGGATCCCTTACATAGGTTGTTGGCAGAGATTGAAAACATTTTTTTGTTTTCTTAAAGTTGAGTTTGTGATCTCGCTGGATGCTTTTGTAGCTTCCCGAACTGACTGTGACAGCTGTCTTCAATTCCTTATTTTGTAGATTTCTGTGCTAGGAGACTGCTTTGTCTTAACCATCGCAAGGGCACTGTAGTGTTTCATGGTGGAGCTCCAGTCATGCCAGCCCTTCACTGTAGTGTCTTTTTAATAAAAAAACTTAAACCTCCCTTACGTTTCTTTATGGTCGTTTTACACCTTGCGGCCACTGTTGGAATCTTTGTGTTTTATGAGGTCAAGACTGTCATCTTTGATAGTCACAACTAATCCAAGAGTTAGGGGTTTTCCTTAGTATTTATTGAAGTGAACTGGCTCTGTGATGGGCATTGAGGAGGGCACTTGTTGGGATGAGCACTGGGTGTTGTATGTAAGCGATGAATCACGGCAATCTACTCCCCAAACCAAGAGAACACCGTATACACTGTATGTTAGCCAACTTGACAATAAATTAAATTAAAAAAACAGTTTTAAAAATATTGAAAATAAAAGAAATCAACTGGCTTTAATAATTTAGGCCAATTAATGGCATTGGCGTGTTTAAACCTACACATCTATAGAGTGTTCATGATTTACTTATAGTTTCTGACTTGTTTTTCCTCTGATTTTCCTGTTTATCAAAACCCATGCGTGTCTGTTGTAGAAAAATTACGTTCAGTACAGGGAAGTATTAAAAAACTGTGTAGGGCCCCCACGTCAGTCTACAGAGTCACTGTAACCCCTATTAAAATTCTCACGGCCTTTTTTGCAGAAATCAACAGTGCAATTCTAAATTCACATGGAAATGCAAAGAACTCATAACAGCCGAAACAACCTTGAAAAGAACAAAGATGGTAGACTTTCACTCTCAATTTCAAAACTTAATACAAAGCTACTGTAATCAAGATGGTGTAGTACTAGCATAAAGATATCGTACATCAATCTGTGGTCATTTGACTTTTTTTTTTTTTTTTTACCACCCCACCTCCTTATGGTCATTTGATTTTTAACAAAGGTGCCAAACAATTTAATGGGGAAAAGAACAGCCTTTTCAACAAATGGTTCTGGAACAACTTGGTATCCATATGAAGAATGAATGAATTTGAATCTCTCATACCAAAATTAACTAAAATGGATCAGACCTAAAACTAAAACTTTTAGAAGAACACAGGTGTAAATCTTTATGACCTTGGGTTAGCCATTGGTTCCTTAGATAGGACACCAAAAATAGAAGCAAGCAAAGAAAAAATAAATAAGTTGGATTTCATCAAAGAAAAAAAATGATAAATTAGGCTTCATCATAATTGAAAACATTTGTACTTCAAATGACATTGTCAAGACAGTGAAAAGACAACCCACAGAGTGGGAGGAAATGTTTGGAAATCGTTATCTAATAAAGGTCTAGTATCAAGAATATATAAAGAACTCTTACAAGCTAAAAAGACAAACAACCTGTTTTAAAAAGTAGGCAAAGGAATTGAATAGATATTTCTCCAAAGAAGATATGCAGATGGCCAGTAAACACGAAAAGATGCTCAACGTCTTAGTCACAAGGGAAATGCAAGTAAAAGCCACAGTGCTACACCCACTAGGATGACCGTAATGGAAAAGGTGGACAATAAAAAGTCTTGGTGAGGATGTAGAGAAAGTGGCACCTCATGCGTTGCTGGTGGGGATATAAGGTGGCACAGCCACTTTTTGGAAGACGGCTTAGCAATTTCACAAACGGTTAAGCACAAAGTTACTATATGACCCAGTAGTTGTACTCCTAGTTGGACTGTTGGGTGTCCAAGAAAAATGAAAACACGTCTCTTCAAAAACTTGTACACAAATGGTCCTTGCACCCAAAAGCAGAAACGCTTTTTTGTACCAGCCCCAAAGTAGAAGCTACCCAGATGTCCGTTCACTGTTGAATGGTTAAACCTAGTGTGATGTGTCCATGCACTGGAATACTATTCAACAATAAAAAGGAATGGAATGATGATGCCTGTAACAACGTGGATGATGAACCTTGAAAGTATACGCGGACTGGAGGAAGCCAGACAGAAGACTACATATTGTGATTCCATTTATATGAAATGTTCAGAATAGACAAATCCGTAGAGACAGGAAAAAGGAGACGAGTGGTTGCTAGGGGCTGGAGGGAGAAGGACATGGGGAGTGACTGCTGGTGGATACGGGGTTTCTTTTGGGGTCGACGAAAATGTTCTGGGCGGACACTGACCACGGTGATGGTCGCACAACCTTGTGAATAAACTATAAACCACTGAATTGTATACTTTAGAAGAGGCAATTTTATGCTATGTGAAACATATCTCAATTAAAAAAAAAAGATAATTGACAAAATAGAAGGCACCTCAGATCCCACTGCCCAGGACTTAGGTGCTACCACAGCTTAGGTGCACGAAACATTTTACAAAATGCTTACTCAGTGCTGGACTCCTGAGCCCTGTATGTACCTTCTCATTTAGTTCTTACAGCAGCTTTGTGAGTCTTCTGTCAGAACTGGGACTCCTGACTCCAGAGTTTTTTCTGCTAATTCTCTGTGCCTGTGTTTACAAAGAATTTTGGGTAAAGACAAGAGCATGCTACTTTGGAATTTTATTAAAATACTGTTTTACAGAGTTCAATGCTTAACTCACAGTTGGCCAAAATATATTTGTGGTGTGGTTTGGTTGGTTAGCATTCAGCAGTTTAGGAAAGCAAATACTTGGGAAATAGGGTTAAATCCCTGAAGTTATTAGTCTTTTAATACCAAGGAGCTTAGGTTGATCTTTTTTCTTTCTTTCTTTCTTTCTTTCTTTCTTTCTTTCTTTCTTTCTTT